TAGCATTGTTTTTCATGTTGGGTGATTCCAAAGTAAATAGTATATAGCACTGTTTTTCATGTTGGGTGATTCCAAGGTAAATAGTATATAGCATTGTTTTTCATATTGGGTGAAAGACTTCATCTAAGTAAATAGTATATAGCGCTGTTTTTCATATTGGGTGATTCCAGTTCTTTAAAATATACACACTTATCCTTGAGCTATAAAACGGTTTCGATATCAAAATGTTTCACTATGCTCTACCTATATTTTGATAATTATATCGAAATGATTTTTTTACTTCAAATTTACCTTGTACGTTAAATGTTCTTTTGGTCTGAACGTATTATATTACCAAACTCAACTTTTTCAGCACAATCGTGATAACTGCATAGTTAAATAGTGAAGATGATGTAGCCATGGAGATGAATATATATTTTTCATCTCTTGATATTTAGTGAGTATCGTGGTTCAATGAAAGTATTTTCTGACATTCATTATTGCTTACTTTGTTTATATCGAATTGAACATACAGATATTGGCATTCATCTTTGCAATCATGAAATGGTAGGCTCTCTTTATCGTATCTAGTTCTCAAGGCAAGTTACCAAATTGTTCCTCAATCAAACATACCATGTATGATGAATTCTTTAATTTGACTAATGCTATTCTTACATCAATATTAGTATAATATGTTGTTGCTATTTCTTTTTCTCGTTGATGTTGTTGTTTTCTTGTTCGTATTTGACTAAACGTAATGATTTTAAGAACTGATATTTGTAGCAACTGTATTATTCTACAAAAGGGGAAATATTCTGATTGTTTGGTGATCTCAATTCTATAATGAGGCAAGACATTCTGATTTTTAGAGAGTTTGATTGTTTGTTATTGATTTCGCGCAAAGCTACACGAGGGCTATCTGCCCTAGCCGTCCCTAACTTAGCAGTGTAAGAGTAGAGGGAAGGCAGCTAATCATCACCACACACCGCCAACTCTTGGGCTACTCTTTTACCAACGAATAGCGGGATTGACCGTCACATTATAACGCCCCCACGGCTGAAAGGGCGAGCATGTTTGGTGTAACGGGGTTTCGAACCCAAAACCCGCAGATTGCGAGTCGAGCGCCCTAACCACCTGGCCATGCGGGGCCATTCTTAGAGAGAATCTCAAAACTCTTGGCTGCCTGGAAGATGAAGTTATTATATCAAAAACGAAACTGACTTGCTTATTCTACTGATTTGTTGTTTCTTTCATCTGTTATATTTCTTTCCAATCGACTTATTTTTTTATTGCTGATTGTCAATGCTACATTTGTCTCATTACGTCGGCGGTAAATTGTATATTAATGTGTACTTTTCTTAGGTAGACCATCTTGTGCTCTGTCTTTCAATTTGCTTGTTATTCGAACAGAAACATCTGTGTGTTTTTTGTTTCTCTGTGTATCTGGCTGGCTTCATTTTCTCTCTTATCTTATGTTAATTTGTGTTACTGTTTTGTTAGCTTTAATTTGATTTGCCAGTAAATATTATTTATTTTGTTTTTTCGGTATCTAAAATGTTTAAAACGCTACTTGATAATAATTAACGAGTGGAGGCTTTGTGTGTGTTTGGGTTTAAGTACAAAACTACACAATGGGCTATCTGCGCTGTGCCCAACACGAGTATTGAAACCTGATTTATGGGCGAAGCCATATTTCAAGCTTAATGCTAAGCCTCTTGGAGAAACGAATAGAGGAGACTCGATCGTAATTTTATACAATGGTGTAAAAGAACCGTTAATAAAGTTTAACGTGTGTGCAACACAAATAAAAATAATAATTCGATTCATTTTTCAATTTTGAAATGTCGGAATTATATTCACATTAATTTAAACACAACTCTACAGCCCATCAACATAATATTTCTACCACGTTCTATTACTTAAAATGGAATATTTTCAAAGGACTATCCCCCGGTGAGACAACGATAGGTTTACAGACTTAAAATGCTAAAATCCGGGGTTAAATTCCCCGCGGTAGCCTCAGCAGATAGCTCAAGTTGGCTTTACTATAAAACAAACAAACTTGTATGACATAGATGTAATAGTAATTTTCAATAACTAATAAATGATCTTACCTGACAAATGTTAAAGCTAAAGTCGAAATACGTTATGTATAAACTGCCCAATATAACAGGGAAATTATTTTATGTGAAAATACAGGTTACACATTTGCAGTCTTCAAATTACATTGTTAATTGAGTTTATTCATTTTCCAGATATTTTAAACTAACTTTTAATACAGAATTGAGTAAAAACAAGACATTTGTACGTCTCACAAGTGCCTCATTTATTATGGCCATGGTTTCGCCAGTAAATATGGAGTTTCGCCAAGTGTCGACGGTTTCGAGTTGTATAACTTTTAATACTTTACTCACTCGATCATGTTTTACTTCATTTCAAATGACGCGCTCGACATTTGATTTTCAATTGATTGAAATAAAAAAACATATTCCATCGTTTGTATTGAAATGAAAAACGAGAAAAATGTAAACCCTTTTTTGTGTGCATATATGCTGTATGACTAAACATACTTGGAACAAAAAGCTGCGAGAAGGTTCGCTGCTAAGGTACCATTTTAATAAAAAGCCAACATTCGGCATGAACCACAGAGTGGATTCTGTTAGGCCTAGCATGTCCTAGTAGTTAGGGTACTCAATTCGCAGCTTGCGGGTCGTGGGTTTGAATCCCGTCACTGAACATGCTCGCCCTTTCAGCCGTGGGGGAATTATTATATGTGATGGTCAATCCCACTATTTGTTAGTAAAAGAGTACTCCAAATTTCAAAATTAGGGACGGCTAGAGCAGATAACCTTTGAATAGTTTTGCTCGAAATTCAACAAACAAACGTAGCTGGACTCTATTGCTAACGTCACTAACCATTGGTGCACGTCTGGCGTATAGACTGCCATTCTGCTTAAATAGCAACCCTAAATTTGGAGTTT